GGCACCGTTTCAAAAGTACCGGTTTGGTACTGGTATCGGATAAAACCTAAACGATACCCATCCCTACCCTTTACAGCTTAATCCAACTTCAGCATTTCTCTTTCTCCTTTTTCTCTGACAACATTCAACATCGCCTCTTTGATTTCCAGCTTCAAACCATGATCCTGTATGACTCTCTCTTTACCTCCAGAACATTCTTCACATACTCTCCCTTCAAGGCTTCCCCTGATCCATTTTGCTTCCTATCTTTGCTACGATAGAACAGCTTAATCTACCTCTGACACTCCTGTCCTTCCACCTGGTGTCTTGCACACACAATATGCAGTTTCTCCCTTCCTTCTCTCTGTCACATCGGCCAGCTCCCTGTCTTTACCGGTCCCTGCAATTTTGTTGTACATGTACAATGACCATAAAGGGCTATTTTATTCTATTCTATAGACCCTTCATTTAAAGTTGTGACCAATTTAGAAATCGTATTATTGATCCAAAAGTTTGATTACTGGCCTTTGAATATAATGGCAGTAAGTGACCCTTGTAGGGGTCTGATTGCTAAAAATATATTTGAATAATAAGATAACTGTAAATATTCAGACTTTAAGAGGCAGCCTGTTCATGTAGGTACCTCTAGTAGAAATTCTAAATCGTCACATTTTGGGCTAAGGGCTGTTAATCTATGGTGCTAGTTTCAGTCGTTATGCAAATGTACTGTTTATAAGGTTGGGGAAACCTTCAGTCAACTCAGACTGAAGAAATGTTTCTCCCACTGAAAACGTTACATCCAGATGAACAGAATTAAGTTTCTGGGGCTGATGGCGGGCTTTGTTGTTATATCAGCTCCAGTTTCCATTAGGTTTTCTATTTGATTTCCCTTGTACTTCGGTCCAGGCATATTCAGGCCAAAAGGGGATTAGACCTTGTGCACAACTCCAGAATCCAGATCCATCAGCTGGCCGTCCAGCAGACTGCAATAGTAGTGTCATTTAAAGACAGAAGCATGATTAGAGAAAAGAAATAAATAAATCAATGGCCAATGTATTAATGCAGTCTCTAATCCCACTGAGGGTTACGTAATGGGACTCAAGCCCCCACTGGAAATAGTAAATGCTGCTCATGTGACCATGTGTTTGTCTCTCAGCCGCCGCTGAGGTGCGATGCCGACGCATTCTCACAGGCACGACATATGCTGCACACAGAGACGCACAAACACTCTAACACAAAACCACAAGTTTCTTTATGTGGGTGATAGAAATGAGATAGAGGGAGGCAGGTAACCGAGGGAGAAAGATGAGCAGAGGAAACACAAATGAAATCGATGCCGTCTGACTGCAGAGTAAAAATGACATTTCACAGCAATGAAGCGCATGACAGATGATGGAGTTGTAACAAAAGGCGTCGTTGCATCCTGCTGTTCAAATGAACTTGGGATGTGATGAAATTAACTTGTCAAGACCATCTCATTGACTCTTGTCTTTATAAACTATTGTGTGAAAGCAGCTTAAATGAAGAGATGCACTGCGAGAGCTTCTGTTTAGTAAAATCATGTCTCTCATTCCTGCCTGTGTTCATTAGAAGGGGTACGCTAGTCTAACTGACTCTCAGTCAAGAGGGACACAGAGCCCAGTGTTAGTTTTGTCAAATTCTTTAACACCTCAATCAGCACTAATTAACACTACAGCAGCTTACAAGTAGCACGCAGGAACAGAATACACAGAGGCTCTCCCTTTCCTATCCTATCCTTCTCTCACTTTTTCACACATCCACACGGAGAAAGTAAAACAGGCATTAGCATGTGTGAACTGAATAATAAGCACCACTTGTGCAGTACATCACGCAAAGAGAAAGGCGTAGCAACAAGCTGGACTTTGACTCGTTTATCCTTTAGGCAAATTCATCAGGATTCAAAGCAAATGACATGAATCCCGTGCAAGAAATTGTGATTCGGTCTAAATGTGTAAACAGGCGTTGCTGTGGATGTTTCCTATCTCGCTTTTTCCTTGCAGCATGCGGCAAACTGACGGGCATCAGTGACCCCATCACCATCAAGACGTCCGGATCCAGGTTTGGCTCCTGGATGACTGACCCTCTGGCTCCTGAAGGAGATACTCGGGTATGTGGCACACAGTCACACAGTGTGGGCTGGGTATCAAAACTGCACTTACCTAATATCTGCTCAGGTGTTATTTAGGAAGACAAGTCCATTAACTGTCAAGTCACTTCTTATTTTTTCCTTCTTTAGTAAATAAAGAAACCACTGGCTCCAGTTTCTCAAGGCTATTTTCAGATTTCTAGTAACACTTTATAATCCAGCTGCTGCTACTTTTGTCTGGCCAACACTAAAAAGCCCAGTATTGTTCAGATTACCATCCAGAAAAAAATCTGATAACACTTTGTATTACAGCCCCTAAAGGCATAAATCTACTGTAATTAAATGAATATTGATATTCATATCATATTTACCCACAGATACTTAATAGGTACACTAGAATAAGGAGGTAGCAACCCAGGTTTTCACAGGATACAATAAAGTAATTATACACTAAATAAATTTAAGTAATGCTTAAGCAATGTTACAACACAATTTATTATGTAAGTAACTGTAAGGACATCATAATTTCATGGCAATTTTTCGGAACAATAAAATTTAAAAATATATATATAATTCCCGACCTTACATTGGAAGTACACTGCACTTTTCAGGGCATGGGCCATATTTTGGAGTGCGTTAAACTTGGCAACCTTTAATGGGAAATTACTTACACAGTATTAAAATGACTTTCAGCACAATTTGTGTCTGTTTTCCTGTAAAAAAACTCATAATTTAGGCACTACTTAAAGTGTACTTGCATGTAATTATTTCTCATTTCCTTTAAAATAATTAAATATTTTATTTTCCTGTATAATAAATTAGTTTTATGTACTATTTTTGTAAAATCCTGACCTGTTAACCTCCTTATTCTAGTGCACCTACCTTTAGATAGTTGCATGTAAATATAGTAACATTGTACTTCCAAATAAAATACATCAAAATTTAATTTGATTACAGGAGAATCATTTTTTAGTCGTGGGCTGTGATGTCTTGATACTAATCTGAACATTACTGGGATTTTTTATTGTTAATAAAACAAAATAGTAATATCAGTATGTCAACTTGAGCTAATGTGATTTATAAGTAAGTAGTTCCATTTCTGCATTATTTGAAATGTGTGGTTTGTTTCCTGGTCTCTATTACTTTAGCAGTCGATTGCATCTGATTTCCCTTTGCAAAGTGCATCTTCCTGCTCAATAAATAGGCCTGCCTTCACTACTAAAACACATTAAAAATAAATACCAAGTATAAATCTATACGATTTGAACAGGAAGCTGCTTGGTTGACAAGAAGCTGGAAATAAAGAGAGTTTATTCGTCTGCTCAGCGTGAAGACGCCCTTTCTGCTCCCGCTTTATTAGACGCATCAATAAGAGATGGAAAGCACACGAGCAGAGGGAGTAAAAACTTCAGCTGCACACGGCTGTGCATCTGTACAGTTACAGTTTCTGATGGCTAACGGTTCTGACAACACAGGCCACGGAATTTTTATGGTACAAACGTCTTTACCAGCAAGGTTGAAACTTACTGCTGACTACGATTTATTTTTTAGCAGACTTACGGCAACTTCCTTTGGTTGAAACTAATACATTTTGAACAGAACCCATGAAAGATGTTCCTCACTGTCAAAGGGCAGAGAAGAAAAAACAGAGTTTAATTGATGGAAGCAGACAGGCCTGCCCCAATTCTTTTCATCTTAAGGTTTTCTTACCTTTCCTTAGTACTTTTTTTTGGCCCCGTGGAGTCCTTCTTTCTTGATGTGAATCATTTTTAAGTTAATCGTGACAGCAGATATAACCAGGTAGAGGAAGGCTTTAGGTTTATCACTCCCACTGTGACCAAGGAAGTATTTGAGTCTCCAGTGGCTCTGGAATGAGAGCTCTCTGCCCACCTCCACAGGGGCCAGCAGGAAGCTGGGTCATAGCAGCTGAGACAGGCCTTTTATCTGGAATGATGGGCATTATCCCTGTGGGGCCGGTGCATGCCACCCTGCGGCTGTCATCCTGACTGTTTGCATTCAGAAGTAGATGGATTTCAGCTTCGCCTGCTCCTCGAGGAAGTCTCAGCACTAACTTAATTGGGATGCTTGTTGACGATGTGATTTGATTTATTCCGCGTGTGATGTGCATGCTCGATTCTCGAATTCACAAAGGCACGCAGGAAGGATGATGATAGGCATTTCTAGCTTTGAAGTACTGCTGTGTTTTTAATTCTCTCTCTCTCTCGTCTTGATGCTTAGGTCTGGTACATGGATGGCTACCATAACAACCGCTTCGTGCGGGAGTACAAGTCTATGCATGACTTCATGACGGCAGACAACTTCACGTCCCACCGGCTCCCCCACCCGTGGTCAGGAACAGGTCAGGTAGTCTACAATGGCTCCATCTACTTCAACAAATTCCAGAGCCACGTCATCATCAAGTTTGACTTCCGCACCTCCTCCATCAGCAAGTCCCGGCAGCTTGACTACGCAGGCTTCAATAATGCGTATCACTATGCCTGGGGAGGGCATTCTGACATTGACCTCATGGTGGACGAGGGAGGACTGTGGGCTGTCTACGCCACCAATCAGAATGCCGGGAATATTGTTATCAGCAAGCTGAACCCCAACACGTTGCAGATCATCAAGAGCTGGACCACCAACCACCCCAAACGGAGTGCCGGCGAGTCTTTTATGATCTGTGGCACGTTGTATGTGACCAATGGCTACTCGGGAGGCACCAAAGTCTACTATGCCTACTCCACCAACTCCTCTACTTACGAGTACATCGACATTGCCTTCCAGAATAAGTACTCACATATCTCCATGTTGGACTATAACCCACGTGACCGTGCACTCTACGCTTGGAACAATGGTCACCAGGTTCTCTACAACGTCACACTTTTCCATGTCATCCGCTCAGAGGAACTGTAACCATGAACATGGATCGAACACCATAAATGCATATTGTCTGTAAAGGAAATCTCACTATATACAAAAATATATCTGCTCCAAGAGACTCTATGGCAAGACCATTCTATTTATGATATCAAAGAATTTCTGAAAGACTGTATCAACAGTGAATGCAAAGTAGAGTGAATGTGCATATGAAAAAATATCTAAAACTGAAGGGTTTCATTCCAAAATGTGATAAATCACAAACAAGAAAAAGAAGCCGTATCTGTTATTATCACAGATGATTGTGTCAAAAGCAAAACATTTTTGTAAATAAAAGGTCGTAACATGACTTCTTAGTCTTAGTAGACTTTATTTTAATAGCTGCCATAATTTTGTTAAAGGGTCTTTTATTTTGGAATGAAACTCTTTAATTGTTTGCCATATAGAAAATGACTGTAAAAGTAGATATAAATATATCAGATTTAAAAGAATAAGAACAGATGCCATAAAAAAATCAAAACAAAAAAAACACACGCCTTTTTTTATATCATGGAATATCAACCTAAGCTCATTCCTGTGGCTCCAGTTCTTCTGCAGAAATCCTCCCGGCTGAACTTTTCTTTCGGTCATTGGGGGTCCTGAAACGAAGACTGTTATAATAAACTGTTGGATCCCCGTGTCCCATGGACATAACGTTAAAAAAAAACAAAAAAAAAACGGGAGGTCACTCTAGTCAGAAGACTTGATAGCCTAATGGATGCTGTGTGTCATATTCTTTTTATTAAGTACCGTAGCAAATCAGAAGTCTGTAGAGAAACAGAAAACATCAATAACAACATCCACTAAAAGACCTGAAGGCACTGACTGTTGACAGCGCTGTTGTTTAAGATGATTTCCCTGTGTTGGTGACTATGTGTGAAAAAGGCTTTCTTTGCATGAGTGTTTTCTATCACTCCGGTCTTCTGAATGTCTTTTTTGCTGTATGATACTATTAAAAAAGGTGGGCGGTAGGGTGGGTGGGGGAACAAGGTAGTATGCCTTTGGGATTTGGGGGTTTGCAGAGATATTTACCTTTTTCCTGCTTCCTTGGATTTTGTTCTCGTTCTGTTTATTTCAATTTCTTTGCAATAATGGTTTTTTTTTAACGTTTTTGTATCTCTGTAACTGTTGCCACCAGTTTTGCCTCTCTATTTGTTTATTTGGACTGCGTAGGAGGAATCTATCTAGCTCACATCTCTCTGAAGTAAAAGAAAAAAAAGAAACAACAGAATGTATCTAGTATTGTATACTGGAAACCAGGCCCTTCTATTTTCAATCCACATCATGTAGTCAGGAGAGGGTTTTTTGGGTTTTTTTACAAGATAAATCCTGTCTCATGTCATGTATCCCCCCACTGCTAGTGAAGGATAATGCTGTTTAAATGTATACTCTTGCTGAGGACAAAAGCTTTTCACTCTTTTTGCGCTTTGCTGGACATGTGTTGTATCTGAGATGAGATAGTTAATGATTCGTGTCAATAAAATAGAGAAATCTGTTGCTCGGATTGCTGCCTTTAAACGCTACAAGGTGCTGTGTATCAGTACAGTTAAGTCCCTATTAGACGTAGAATACATAATCGCTGGTTTCATCAGTCTGTTTCAAAATAGTTTAGATCTGACCTTTAAAAATAACAAAATTACTAAAAGAGGGGAAAATGTTTCAGCCTTTCTGGAAATTAGCATACAAAGCAGTGACATGAAATGTAATTATTGACATGCTATTACTGTTTTATTGTGTTCTCAAGTGAACTGGGCAACTCAAAAAGATTCACAAAAGCTATGGAGGGTCTTTATGTGCCTGTTAATGTTGCTGCAGGAATCCAGCGTTGGGTGAAGTCCAACTCTAGTAACACGACTGAGGCAAATACTACAGCAAAGAGACCAGAGTGCTCATTCAGACATGAAGCTGGCATGTTCAAATGCCATCAAATTAATGGAAAAGAGTGCATGTCTTAAAGGTGCTTAAGCCTGTGATGGTTCACATGGATATAACTTTTACATCACAGCTAATGCTCTTATTTCCTGCCTTGAAGGTTTTACTTCATTAAGATTACATAGATTACACAATCCCGCTTTACTTGGATTGTGGAAAAAGAGCATTTACGGACCCTGGTGCGTGTTTAGAAATTGCAAAGTGAGGCTCCTAAATAAACCACACACACACACAAAAAACCATAATCTTGCTCTTTCAAATGAAATGTGGTATTTGCAAGCAATAAAACTCATGGTTGCTAAATTAAATACACCCAAGTGTATTGTTGCTGCTAAACAACTTGACTATTAACTATTGTCAGCCATGTTTAGCTTGATTGTCACTTAGAGTCATGTGAATAACTAAATGCTTCACTTCATTAGGGTTTGTGGGCATTCATTTATGCATGGCTCTCTGAATGTTCATCCACAGTATTTCTGTTGTCATTCTATTGTAGATTTGCTGCTGTGCTTTGGATTTATTATCCTGCTGCATGATGATTTCAAAGCTTTAGCTGTTGGACACATGCCCTTATATTTGACTCTAGAATACTTTGGTATACAGACAAATTCATAGTTGGCTCAACAATTGCAAGGTGTTCAAGTCCTGTCACTGTAAAACAAGTGCAAACCATCATCACTCCACCACAGTGCTTCAGAGGTTCGGTTTTAACCAAACTTGAGCTGCGCTGCTGTGTCCATTATACAGAGAAGAGGCCTTCCAAACAAGTCCTACTTGTTCCGGCTTCAACAGTTAACATGCTATCTGATGTAGCCCTTGGTTTTTAAACAGTTTGACCTTGGGGTGGTTATTGTTAATTATGTTAATATACCCGAATGCTCCCAGCAAAGCAAGTTTCACTCTTGATTAATTGATCATCTTCATCCAAGACGGGAGGCACGCCGTAGCATCGACAGGCACTGTCAATGATGCATTTCCTTTAAATTACAAGTTACTGTCAGCTCCAATAACAATCATCTGTGTTTTGTTTTTATTCACTTGACATTTCCTTTATTTGTTGGAATGTCTTCTTTTTCAAACAACACTGTCCACTTTATGTTCGCTAAGAATTTTCTCCCCTTCTTTGATCTCCACTCAATTTCACTTACCACTACTCCCATCCTCCTTTTTACTTCTTGTCCTTCAACCATTCTGTCTTTTTCCCGCTCTTTGTTGCTCCCACTCTCCCACTGCCTCTTAGTCCTCTGATGTTTCAATCAATGAATAAATGATTGCTTCTATTTTCACTCCGAGTGCTTGGCCAACACAAGCTGCTTTGTTCCCCTGAAAGAGTTAGAGATAGGATTTGGGAGACAGAGGGAGAAGAAAAAAAGGCAGAAAAAGAAACATGCTCAGCGGAAGGTCTTGCAGTGTTTGACACGAAGAGCTGTCACTCAGGAGATGAATATATTTGCATCTTTAAACAGCAATTGGTGTGTCAAGAGACATCGCTGTACTGCACATAGTCCCAGTTCCCCACCAGCAACAACAGAACACACGCCTGTGAACTTGACAGTTGCCTTCAATTTCATCATTTTGCATATTTGCTCTGTCTTTTCATTTCCACACCAGTGTAAATGAAATACATTTCTATTTGGTGACTTTTACCGCAATGTATTGTTTACACGAGACATCATAAGGTGCACTTGGCTAATTATCTTTTGCATACCTTGCCCTCTAAATGGCATGACCACTGCAGCAGCACTTTTGGGACTAAGGGATGGACACAGTGAGAGGTTTGACCTTGCTTAGGCCAGCTGTAAGGTGTTTTATTCCCCCAAGGACAAAACCACTTATCAGTGATAGAAAGATAGTCTGTGCGTGCCAACAGGAGGCTTGCAAAAAAACCGAAAAAAAAAAAACCGCAGAGCACTGCAATAACTTGGTTTTGTGGCACAAACATCTCTGACAGGTTGTAACGCTTGTACAGCTTTCCTATTCTCACATTACATAATTTACCCTTGCCACTGACTCTGAGGCCTTTGTCTCTACGGCCTCTGAATGACGCAGCTTTGTAAACTGAGAATGCTGATTAAAAACTATTGAAAACATTCTATAAACTTATTTATAAAGATGATAATTTGGAAGTGGAAGCACATCACTGAATACGCTTAATCCATGCGTCACCACCAGAGATGGGCAGTAACGCGTTTTTACATTTTACATTACATGTAACGCGTTACTGTAATCTGATTACTTTTTTCAAGTAACGAGTAAAGTAAGGGATTACTATTGCAAAAACGGTAATTAGATTACTAAAACCGTGATTTTTTTGCGAGAATGTCTCATGACAGTGATGTAAGCGAGTGCGACGTTCGTGACAACAGCTGTGTGCAGATCAACAATGGATCATATATCGAGTGCGGGAGAGAGTATGAGCGTGCAGCGTTTAAAGCGTGGAAGTACTGACCTTACTTTGAGTTTGATTCCATAAAAAGTGACAAAAACATTAGCATCCGTTGTGCGTGAGAAGAAAACTTATTTTTACACCGAAACAAACCCCTAAACAAGCACCAAGTGCGCTGCGACGTAATGGGAAATTCACAGAGAAACTCGCGGATTCTTCAACTGACCGTTGCGACACACCTGCACCAGAGCACACCTCCGCCTACGCCACTCCTGCTATAAAGGGGAAAATAGAGCAACAGGACCGCTAGTCTTTGATTAAAAACAAAAAATATTTTATTTTATGTGCTGGAATGTGCAGAAAATAGGTTTAAATGTTAAACTAATTTCTTCAAGCCAGAGAATGGTGCATATAATTTAATTTTTGCTTGATGCATAAAGTTAAAAGCTTAAAACTAATAAAACAAGTTTTAAAAAGAGACTTTTCCATTTGATTACATTTTGTATAATGGATTATGCAGAAAAAGTAGAATTGGGCTGAAAGATCTATCGCTCTATCACCTATTCAGGTTGTAAATCGTGTTTTTAAAAAGTAACTAAGTAACTAAGTAATTAATTACTTTTGAAAATAAGTAATCAGCAAAGTAACGGGATTACTTTTTTGGGGAAGTAATCAGTAATTAGTTACTGATTACTTTTTTCAAGTAACTTGACCAACACTGGTCACCACTAGTGACTCATTCATCAGCTGACGTATTTATACAGAAAAAAGATCTTGAACGGATGTCACCTGCACCTCTCAGTGTTACAGTCATACACACACACCGGCCTGTTACTGTGTGATATTACAAAAATAAGTTGATTTACCTCAATAAGGATAATCTCACCGTGTTCTCACAGCAGACTGTCAAATACTGCTTCACCTTCGCTCACAGGTTAAGTTTAGGCACCAACAAACTTCTTGGTTTGGTTAAAACAGTAAAATATTTAGGGTTTTTAAAGTTAGGTTTACACACTGGAAATAGCAAGTAGAAGTTAAATGTAATGCCATTTAGGTCTGTTATGAATCCATATGTGAGAAGCCCATCTCATCATTTCTGTAACCCGGTATGTCACGTCACACATGCAAAAGAGACCCTGTGCATGTCTGTGAGAGGACAAAAATGGCACTTTTTCACATCCTAGGAAGAGTTTTATAATCCTCATCACAGCTCAAAGGGACTCCTTTTTGCTTTTATCTTTGAAATGATATTGCACCCCAAATGGCAACTGTATTGAATAAACAAACATCTTGGATGGTATATTGTGCCAGGTCATGTAAGATTAAACTGTCTACAACAGAAATAGCCT